CCTGCATTATGGAGGTTTACTCAAAGTCTACTAATTTACATGTTAATCACATTAAAAGGCCTTTATGGGGACAGCTGTAGTCCCTGTTGTTGCCATTGGTCCTGGGGTCATTATTAATAGTCGTTATCTTTCTCCTCGAGTACCCATCTACACCCAGCTTCCCACCCCCCATTCTGCCCCTTGGAAGCACGTCTTTTGGTTTAGGTTGCTACCCTATTAGGTTTCAAAGATCTGACATGCAGAGAACATCAGCAGCAATTGGGGCTGTAGCTAGTGAATTGTCTATAGTTCATTGTTATTGCCATGGTACATCTGGCTTTCCAGGACACCATCCCCTGCATGCTTTACATCTTTGAGGGTGCCACTAAACTAAGCCAGTTTGATGCAGACCCCAGCTTGTGGGGTCCGCCACATTCTGGATGAGATACGAGAAATTCACACGGACTAATGAGTCCTGTGGAGAAAGAGGGATGGCATGGCTTCTCTCTCAAGAGGAAAAAAAGCCTCGGCCCTTGCCTTGACAGGCATTTATTGCTTTTCTTGGCATATTACATGATGGTCCTCATTTACTATGCACAGGTTCGCTTTACCTGGTTACCTTTTGCAGAAAACAAAGGAGAGGATGTCGCTAATCATATTACAGAAGAAGGATATTTGCAAATGCAAAGGGAAAAGTGGTTGAACCGGTTACACTCCATACTGGGGAGGTTTAGCACAGACTTTAGGAAGTTACAGTAGGCATTTTCTCCCTTAATTCGGGGTGAGGGAGTTTTAGTAAGAGCAAGCCTCATAGCAGTCTAGGCACAATGCAGGCCTGGTTCCCCATGGGAGAACCTATCCATGGCTGTGGGTCCTGTCTGGGCCCACGCCACACAGAATGGTCTTCTGTATCCCCCCTTGTTTTTAGTTAGGACTGCTATAGATCCCACAAAGCTTGCTACTTGCTGGTCTCTCACATGACCCTGGGAAAATAATTTGCAAATGTATCAAAGTACACAGAGCATTATTATAATGAACAAGCAACCAGCAGTTCCAAAGACCCACATTCTCAGATTAAGCCCATCAATCATTGTCAGGCAGTAATGATCAAATAGGTAATCTTCAAAGAACTCTGAGGGCCTATTTTTGAGTCAGGGTCAGATAACTAAAGGGCCATAAAACTTTGGGGAAACAAACTTATTTGGGGCTTGGACCCTTATCATTTAAATTGAGGGTATCAGCAAAGTAGGTTTTATAGGATTTTATGCATTCTTTCTTAGGCCTGATCACTCTGGGAAACTCACTCTTTCCAGCACAGGGCCACACCCACCTCCAGCATTGTTTCAGGCTTAGGCGAGCAGGGGAAGTAAGGCAGCTAAGAGATTAGGAGACTTCTTGCAGACAGAATGAGGACAGAGACTGTGTCAAAGCCAAGGGGCAAGGGTCCATCACCCCCTTTTTCTATAACCCCCCAAGTCCTTCCTTGAGGGCCTCCTCATTATCATGCCTCTCTTAGGTAGTCCCCCCTTTGAGGAATCTTATCCGTCATTGGCTAACCGATCATGCAGTGGGGGTCAGGCAGGGTGAAGTAAAGTGGGCAGAGACAGTGCTCCTGTCAGGGAGATAAGCTTTGTCTCCTTAGTGGCTTATGGTCAGAAGGTAGCTCACTCAGCCTTAGCCATGGTGGGGTTACAGCTCCTGAAACCACCCAGGGCAGTTCCCAACACCATTCCAGCTAGGATGTTGCATTGCTTTTGAGTTCCCATTTTGGCCAGAGGTTTTGAGGCACCCACACAGGCTTTTCTACCAAAATGGACCTTACTTTATAAATCAGAGAATCATTATGAGAGCCTGTCAGCCTCTACCTACTGTATATACATTCCAAGTATGCACAAATCCTCCACTCTACTTTCCTAAATTCTGTGTGATTGTGCCATCTGTCACTGTTGGGAACTGACAGATTCTTTGAGGTTAAAGGCTCAAAGGACAGGTTGACATAATTGTTTCACAGTCCAGAGGTGGGGTTGGCAATGGAAAATTTACAGTTGGTTGTGATGCACTTTTCAGAACCAGCAGGCCCAGCAAAGATAAGCTCATGTGTGAGATGAAAATCAGAGATTTTCATCAGGAACAGCACCATGAAAATTAGCAAAGATCTTAGCTTCCTGGCTACCCTTGCCCAATGATGCAACTACTGATGAGGAAACTAACCCAAAGTAATGCAGCCAACTCCTCTTCTGGGGAGCCAATGTGTCTGATAGCCCTAAAGCCATGTTATAGAACCCAAACCAAAAACTTTAAATACTTCAACTATTCAAATAAACTGAAAATACTGAAAGGTTGAGTAAGGACAGAAGACTTTCATGATTTAATAAAAAAACATAGACTCAGTAAATAATGGTCTTAACCACAAAGCACACAATCTGGGCAGAGATCTACTAGCTTCTCCTTAATCTCTCTCTGGCCTGGGGGACTGAGGTGGGATGTGCAGTCATGGATTATTTTACAGTAAGAAGAGGAAATGTCCAGGGTCTTCCCAGGAAAAACAATCCTGCCTTAGAGCCCCCATCCTGACACAGGTCACCCCCTGTCATTAAGCACACAGCTCTGCGTTTTGGCATGTAATCAGTACTCAGTGTGTTTCGACTTGAGCAGTGTTGGCTTCTGTGTCTCTCTTAGCTTAGGGGACTAGCTGGGTCAGTGTGTGCTGGGCAGGCCTGGGATGGTACCCTTCCCATGGGTTGGGTGAAGCCTCTTGTGCTGAGAGATGAAACTCATGCAAATTCTTGCCTTTGGTGATTAACACCAGCTAGGTGGGAGCAAGCAACAAGCAATGACCCCAGGATCTCAGAGTCAAATTTCTATTGCTGCATGCTCTTGTCTTTCCTGAGTGTGGACCCATATGGAGCTTGTTTGATGGGAGGAGGGGTGTCACTGCCACAGGATGATTTAGGGCATTGGGTCCTGGGTGGCAAGGCTCAGCAGTGTCCAGCTTGGAGTCCCCTTGTAGCTGCCACCATGGGTGGTTCCCCCAGCCCTGGGTCTGGAGGGTCATGGGCCTCTCCTGTACTTTCTGTCCTGGGGATCGGGGTCCTGTGTGCTCTGGTTCCACATCTTTCTGGGAAGGTCCTTCTGGTTTATGTGTTCTCCGTGTGTTTTTTTTCCTATGCAGACACAAAATATACATTTAAAAAGTTGAGATTTCACTATAGGGAGGTTTTTATATAACTTAAAAAGCATTATATTGTATGGAATTTTCCAAAATTATTAAATGTTTTTGAAAATAAATTTTTGCCCTGACTGGTGTAGCTCAGTGGATTGAGTGCAGGCCTATGAACCAAAGGGCTGCCCGTTCACATGCCTGGGTTGTGGGCCAGCTCCCCAGTAGGGGGCGTGATAGAGGAAACCACACACTGATGTTTCTCTCCCTCTCTCCTTGTCCTCTCTCTAAAAATAAATAAATAAAATCTTAAAAATTTTTTAAATGAATCCAAAATATTCAATTATATGAATTTACCATTTAAACGTGTTCCATGGCTCAAATTTCATTTTCTGTTTTTATTCTTAAGTATGGTTTAATACTCTTCTCCATTTCTGTACATCACAACACTAAGAATTTGCTGCTTAGGATCTGCCTGTAGAGCCTATAGAAAATGCAGAGGCTATGGTTTTTAGCCCCTCGAACTGATGTGTTTGTAGAATTTCATCTTTTTTTATTACTGAGAATACTAGGGTTAAACTCTTTATTCATGACTCTTTGGTATATCTTTGCTTATTTCTTAAAGAGGAATTCCTAGGAAGAGTTCACTCAATGGAAGGGATTCACTGTACCACCAGAAGCGAGGAGTGCTGTCAGCGGCAGGCTCCTGTTGTGTCTGTCCCTGCCCTGCCCTGTTTTCTCTCCTCCAGCCAGTCCCTCAGCTGGCAACAGTTTGTGCTGAGCAGGCTCTGCACTTCTGTCTTTCTGCTGGTTTGGGTGTAGCCCTGTGTGGCAGGGTATTGCTTGTGTGGAACTTTTGATGCTATTCCTTCTCTCATCTGTTTCAGGTATCTCCTTTGCAGCAACAAGTGAGAGGTAATCTACATCTCAGATTAAAGCTCCACAGATAGTACATCTTTTCTTATTGAAGTGGACTACAAGGAGGACCTTATATGGTACTAACTGCCTTTCCTATATCATGTATCTAAACCAGTGGTTCTCAAATGAGGATGATTCCTGCCCTCCTCACCTCCCTAACCCTCCACCCCCTGGGGGATATTTAGCAATGCCTGGAGACATTTTTGGTTGTCACAATATGGTGGTGGAGGGGGTTGCTACTGTCATCAAGTAGGAAGAGATCAGGGATGCCGTAAATATTGTACACCAGTTTATTTATTTAAAAAATGTTTTATTTATTCGTTTTTAGAGAGAAGGGAAGGGGGAGAGTAAAAAGGGAGAGAAACATAATGTGAGAGAGAAACACCAATTGGTTGCTGCTCATACATGCCCCTACTGGGACTGGACTGTAACCCAGGCATGTGCCCAATTGGGAATTGAACAGGTGGCACCTCGCTTTGCGGAATTGTGCCCAACCATCTGAGCCACACCAGTCAGGGCAACATTGTACACCTTGTTTGCAATTAAAATGTTCTTAGTGATTTCTGAATATCACTAAAGATAAATCTTAGTATAGGGTTGATAATTAAGACAAGAAGGGATCTGGTGTATTTCTTGTTTAAGTTGGAAATATGAATCCTGCCTCTCAGGGAATCCCTTTCTCTTCTTTTTTTTTTTTTTCTTTCCCTATTTTCCCCCCTTTTTTTTCTCTTTCCCTGTTTTTTTTTCTTCATTATTTTCTCTGTCTCTCTTTTACACACCTATGTGCCCACCTCTTTCAAAGCTTATAGGCTGCCTGGATTGGGTATCAGGTTGCTATGTGCAGGGAGAAGAGACCATTAGAGAGAGGAGACACACACTCATTTCTGGAAGTTGAGTCCTTATTGAGGTTTATTGAGAGCTTTGTAGCATAGAGGAATCGTCTTGAGGATTAGGGGTGTGGCAGGACTTTCGTAGGAATCAAAGGCAGCTCCACAGTCTGTGATGTAGAGAACCTGCTCAGGTCCTGTTAAGATTTCATCTTGGACTGGCCCAAGCTCCAGGGTTAATTCTCCTTCAGGACCTTATTGATCCAAGGCCGGTAATGGGAGATCCGGGTAAAGACAGCAGGGGGCTTGGCATTCCACTGTCCATAGGAGACAATGCCCTGGGCCACCCCAGCACACAGAAGAGGGCCCCCTGAGTCTCCCTGGGTTGGGTGGGGCGGCAGGGGGATGGAGAGAGAGAGAGAGAGAGAGAGAGTCAGTCAAAGGTGAGCCAGGGAAGTCATCCATTTCTGCCCATGGGTTCCATCTCTGAGTCACAGTAAGACCTAGGGTTAGACCCAGGAACCCTGGCTCCTCATGGGGTTATACGTCTTGGTCTGATACCCCTTCCTGTTTTCCTTCTTGTTATCCCATGTCCTGTGTAGCAGACTGAGAGGGACAGTTAGAGACTGCACAGGGCCCTGGGAGAATGGGTCCACAGAGGGACAATTCCAGTGTCCTCAGTTCTTTGATCTCAAACCTGGCCACTGGCTGACAATTTTTTTTAACTCCATCTCATTCCAGAAGATGTCTACACCTTGAAAAGTGATTTGTGGAGAAGAACCCCTGTCTAAGGATTACCTTAAATACGGATTTTCTCTTTTTGGGCTTGCCCACACACAGCTGAAGATTGGGGTCAAAATCTTGGAAGTGTCTGCAGGCCTGGGTATCCATAAGTCTCAGCTTCACCTCTTGCAGAGTGTTGGAGCCTGATTTCCCTACTTCTGTTATTCCCCAGCCAGCCACCCGGCACATTCTCCCAGGTGGGATGAAGTTGAACTGGGGTGGAAGAGGGAGTGTCCCCACGGCCAGAGTCAGGTTGGCTTTCTCATTCAACTGTGAAGGGAATGAGGGTTGTCAGTGCTAGTAATGGGTTAGGATGCTGTTGGAAGCCATCAGGGAGGGAGAGCACACATTGTTTTATATTGGAGTCACGTCCAGAGAGGGGAGTTGTGCAGGGAGTGCGAGGGCATTGTAGTCCAGCAGCAGGTCAGGAAAATTTCAGGGCAATGAGGACCTGAAGGAGAAGGCTAAGAGAACAGGAAATAGAGGAGAAAAAAAGATATTTTCACCTTTAGTAACATGATGTCGTGAAGGGTAAGAGTGTGATCAAATTTTGGATGAGGGAATTGTTTTATGACCTCAAGCTTCTGCCATGTGTCTTCTTTCTTCCTTATGTCATGGGCTCCAAGGGTGACCATTATAGACCTGTTATGACAGAGAGGAAGGATAAAGAGAAGCAGGGATGGTCTGGGGTTTCTCCTGGGATGTACCCTGTCTGAGAGAAGGGGACTGGAGTCTCTCAGTAGGTAACAAGACTCTATTCACTCCCCTTTTCCTGTGTCACTGTGGCATTTGTGGGGCTCAGGTTTTACTCAGGGAAGGCTTTTCCCAGGGACCAGAGACAATTTCTAAGACTCTGAGGAATTTCTGGGGACTGAGCAGGCCATGAAGGACCCAGGGGACAGGGTTAGCACTTCCTAGATAACTTTTGAGAGCCAGCCCTCTGCAGCAAGAGACATCAGAGAAAAGGAAGAGGTGGTGGGGTCTCAGATGGACTCTGTTTCCTGCCTCCCAGGGAAAGGATAGGTCAGCTCCCTGAGAACTAAGGGCCTATATTTTTGGAATGATCATAGAGTAATGACCAAGTGGTTCAGAGAACTGGGTGGGGCCCTGAGAAGTGAGTGGAGAATCTTGTGTGTTGGGTTTGGGGAGAGGGGGAGTTACTTTTAGAGGCGGGTTATTTGGTTGGCATCTCCTATTCTTTTGTAGGAGAGCTGGGTGTCCAGTGACTAAGGATCAGGGCATCCATTCAGTCAACAAAAACAATTTTCTTAGCCCAACTCTTGCCTCTCCTTAAAGGAACCCAGGCCCATGAACCCCTCCTCAGGCCCCCCCTCTGGGTGAGTCTCTGGTTGCTACCCTGGATATTTGGAGAGAAAGAGGACCCTGTTGTCTCACCTTCCTGCACAGTGAGCAGCTGTCAGCACAAAGTTCCGTCTTATCAGGAAACCACCACAATGTGCTACTTCATTCTGGGCAGTGACAATTTCCAGGTGGGCCATATAGGGGCGAGAGTGAGGCTTGCATTCTGTGCCCCCAATGATCTCCCCTGGAAGAGGGAACCACAAGGCTTGAACACAGGCATTGGTACCCACTCCAGAGAATGCACAAGTTGGGTTAAAGTTGAGAGTATGTTTCTTGACTCTCACCCTTACCCTGCATTCTGCCCATCTTCCCTCTCAGATGTCTCTAGAGTCTGCTTTCCCTAGGCACAGCTTCCTACATAAATTCTCATCCCTTCCTTTAGGCACAATAGCCAACCAACCTCAGATGCTGTTCAGGCATTTTCCCCCTCAGATTTCCCCCACTCCCATTCTGCCCCTGCCTCAACCCTTCTGTCACCATGAAGGACAAGCTCTCCAAGGTTCCTGTCTTGACTCTCTCCACAGCCTATGAGCTGTGTCACAAAAGAACCAAATTCTAAGTTAATGTGTAGCTCCAAAGCTCAGAGGATTGAGAACATAAGACTTTACACACATGGCCACACATGTTAGAGAAGAAATCCCTTTTCCTCCCAACTGCTCTGGGCTTTTCCTTGTTCCTGGGAACTACCATAGGCTGCAGAGATGTGGTGGGAGCATCCCAAGGGGAAGCTTTACTCTGGACTCTTGAAGAGAGATCCTGCTACTCTCCCGTTTAAGAGTCATCTATATTCAGACAAAACTTTGTTTTAGGAGCTGATCCTGAAGCTCCCAGAGGGAAGAACCCGGAGACTCACCAGCTTCGGATCTGGAGCATAGGAGAAAGAACAGCAGGGGAAGAGGAAGAGGGCCCATCTTCTCAGAGAGGCTGCCCATGGCAGGTGCTGCTTCTGTCTTTCAGTCTTGGGCTTTATAACTCCCAGCAAGGAGGGAAAGGGCAGGGCTGGTAACTACAGGAACTGGGTGGTCAGATTTTTAAAAACTTCTTCCCCCCCCCATTCTAAGCTGTCTGTCTTTTTGATCAGAAGTTCCCCCAGCCCTGACTTGTGTGACTCAGTGGGTTGGGCATTGTCCCACAATCTGAAAGGTTACACTTTGATTCCTGGCAACATGCCTGGGTTGCAGGACAGGCCCCCAGTATGGGGCGTGAGGCAACCAATCAATGCTTCTCTCACACATTGATGTTTCTCTCCCTCCCTTCGAAGTTCCCCCAGAGTTGCCCTTTGTTTTGCTAGAGGTAAAGTTGAGGCCTGAACTCTGAAGTGCTGGCTTCCAGGATGAACTCTCCACTGTGGTCCCTTACCTGGAGTGGGGGGTGGGTGGAGGGGTCATCTCTTTTCCAGTCAGAACAGTTTGTTAGAGGTCCATCAGAAACACGGGGGAGGGAGATTTGCTACACTGAGCATTCAGAAGCATATGCACTTTTATGGCTATAGCCCACAGTAGGAAATAAATTTTGCAAAAACACTCAATGCCATATGCATGTTATATGTGAGTACATGAGCACAAATATATACACATACAAATGAGTAAAAAATTTCAGGAAACAATATTTATCCTTATCAGATACAGTGTCCTTTCTTAGTTTCCATTGCATTGCATTGCATTGCATTGCATTGCATTGCATTCCATTCCCTGTTAAAACATGAATACTATCCATTTAAAGGATTATTACCTGTAGTTTGAAAAACATTAATCTGGCTCTTTCTCTTCTTCTGAATCATGTTCATTGGAAGAAGAAAAGTGGGATCCAAGGAGAGTAGATGGGGGAAGTAAACATACCTTGTTTTAAGACTTTACATATATTATCACAGGATAAAATGGAATTATCATTAAAAAAAAGATTTTACTTATTTTTAGAGAGAGAAAGGGAGGGAGAAAAAGGGAGAGAAACATCAACATGTGGTTGCCTCTCACGTTCCTCCTACTGGGGACCTGGACTGCATCCCAGGCATGTGCCCTGCCTGCGAATTGAACCTTTGGTTTGCAGGCTGGCACTCAGTCCACTGAGCCACATCAGCCAGTGTGGAATTAGCATTTTTGAGAGCTTATGCATATCATTTATTGTTATAACTCTGATGTGTTTTCATCACAATATTGTAAAGTAGGTATTATTATCTGAATTTTATGTATCTGCTATCCGGGCTTATGGTTCAGAATTAGACTTACCTGATTCCAAATTAAGGGCCCTTTCTCCTGTACCACCAAAGGGAAATAGAGAAGTTGAGCTCTGCCAGTGGTGATATACAGATGTGGAAGGATGATCACTTCTGGGGGGTTGGGGTTTCCTACTCTCACATTAGGAATTAAGTTATTTTGCTGAAAAAAATATGTGCACACAGATGTCAGTGTCTGAGTTTTTTTTTTTCCTCCATAACCACCTTGGGAGATACCATTACGGTGATTTTACAGATGTAGAATTGAGACACACACATTAACATGACCAAGATCACACAAGTCATAACTATCCTAACTGGGTTTTAAGTGCATGTCTGTTGTGTTCCCCAGAGTTGGAGAAGGGAAGTTTCGGGAAGAGTGGGGTAACATGGTGGTATGCCATTTCTCTTGGATATTTGTAAAGCATTTAGTTCAGAAATGGGGAAGCACAGGGGCCTTATACCTTCCCAGGTCATTCTATCAGACCTTAGTCTCAGCTTGGATTTGTAACTGGGGTGCTACAATTCTTAGTATATATTGACTGAGTCCTCTGTTGCCCTCAGTTCTGACCCTGTCTAGAAGAGAACATTTACATATTTTCCTAATACTTGAGGAGTGCTTGCACTAATTCATTTACTCTCTAGAGTTACCAGTTTAAAGTACAGAATGCCAAGTGAAATTTGTGTCACAGATGAATAACAAATCATTTTTTAAGTAGATGAGTGTCCCAATATTGAATAAGATATACTTATAATAAAATTGTCTGAAATTCAAAATTCAAACACCTGAGAGTCCTGTATTTTTATTTGCTAAAACTAGCAACCATACTCTGCATTCTACTGCTAGCAAAGCAGAGAAAAATTTGGAGTTGCAGAAGTTTTGTCCTGTAGCACTGTACCAGTTAGACCAAAAAGCAGAGGTGTAAACAAATGAAGGGCATTTGTTTTTCACTCATGTAATGAGGAGTTGAGAGGTAGGAAGTCCAGGGCTAGTGTGATTGCTACACAGCATCATTAAGGTTCAGATCCACCAAGACTCAAGTTTTATTTCACCTGCACTGGCTGAGGGTGAGACAATGGAATAGGTGTAGCTACAGTCAGGCGACCAGTTTCTGAAATGAGAACTGCACTATCTGACCATGTTTCTTCCTTGCTATGTCATGTGCCTGTTTACATATTTCAATAGCTTTCTTTTTTCTCTCTCTTCTATGTTCCTTCTGCTGTTTTATATGTGGTACATTGTTGTTGGTAAAGTTTATACTTTAGCCTACGGTTTGCTGAATATTAGTTTGGAAGTGTGACTAAATTAGAAGTGGAATGGCTATCATGTAGAGTTTCTGAACTTGGAGTTGAAATTAGTAACTAATGAGACTGGGTTATTTCATTTCTGGGGAGAGCCAAGTCTCATTTTTCTCTGGACAAAATAACCACATAGTGATGGTTATGTTCAATGAGAGCATTTTTGTTTTGGGGAATAGTAAGTATGGTAAAAGAATACACGTTCATGTTGGGCAGCTAAATGATGGATTATAGTGGATATTTGCCATGTATGCGGTGGATCCATAGTGTCTTTTGAATGTCCTTCCTGTACTAGCAGAATTGTCAATTATGATTCTTGCCTTCATAAGGTAGAACGCACAACTTCCTTTTTTCTTTTTTAATTTATTTATTTTAATTGTTGTTCAAGTACATTTTTTTGTCTTTTACTCCCATCCCAGCCCACCCCCACAGTGCTCCCCACATCCCTCTCATTTCCATCCCCTTAGTTTTTGTCCATGTGTCCTTTATACTTATTCCTGTAAACCCTTCCCCTTTTCCCCTGAAATTCCCTCCTCTCTCCCCTCTGGTCACTGTCAGCCTGTTCTCTGTTTAGTGTATTTGATTATATTTTGTTTGCTTGTTTGTTTTGTTGTTTAGGTTCCTGTCGAAGGTGAGATCATATGGTATTTGTCTTTCACCACCTGGCTTATTTCACTCAGCATAATGCTTTCCAGTTCCATCCATACTGTTGCAAAGGGTAGTAGCTCCTTCTTTCTTTGTGCTGCATAGAATTCCATTGTGTAAATGTACCATAGTTTTTTGATCCATTCATTTACTAACAGGCACCTAGGTTGCTTCTAGCACTTGGCTATTGTAAATTGTGCTGCTATAAACATTGGGGTGCATAGGTTCTTTTGGATTGGTGTTTCAGGGTTCTTAGGTTATAATCCTAGCAGTGGAATTGCTGGGTCAAAAGGCAGTTCCATTTTTAGTTTCCTGAGAAAATTTCATACTGTTTTCCATAGTGGTTGTACCAGTCTGCAATCCCACCAACAGTGAACTAGGATCCCCTTTCCCCCACAACCTCTCCAACATTTGTTGTTTGTTGCTTTGTTTATGATGGCCATTCTGACCAGTGTAAAGTGGTATCTCATCGTGGTTTTAATTTGAATCTCTGATAGGTAACGATATTGAGCATCTTTTCAATGGATCCTCTGGATCCTCTGTATGTCCTCCTTGGAGAAGTGTCTGTTCAACTCATTTGCCCACTTTTTCATTGGGTTCTTTGTCTTCTTAGAGTGGAGTCATGTAGGTTCTTTGTATATTTTGGAGATTAAACCCTTGTTAGAGGTATCATTGGCAAATATGTTTTCCCATACAGTTGGTTCTCTTTTTATTTTAATACTGTTTTCTTTACCCATGCAGAAGCTTTTTATTTTGATGAGATCCCATTTGTTTATTCTTTCCTTTATGTCCCTTGCTCTAGGGCCATATCAGTAAAAATGTTGCTGCGTGAAATATCTGAGATTTTCTTGCCAATGTTCTCCTCTAGGACTTTAATGGTGTCATGGCTTATATTTAAGTCTTTTATCCACCTTAAATATAATTTGGTGTATGGTGTAAGTTGGTGCTCGAGTTTCATTTTTTTTGCATGTAGCTGTCCAGTTATCCTAACACCGTTTGTTGAAGCAGCTATTTTTACTCCATTGTATGTTGCTGCCCTCTTTGTTGAATATTAATGGACTGTAGAGACTTGGGTTTATTTCTGGGCTCTCTGTTCTGTTCCATTGGTCTACGTGCCTGTTTTTATGCCAGTATCAGGCTGTTTTGATTACAGTGGCCTTGTAATACAGTTTGGTATCAGGTATTGTGATCCCTCCTACTTTGCTCTTCTTTCTCAAAACTGCAGCTGCTATTCGGGATTGTTTATGTTTCCATATAAATTTTTGAAGTGTTTGTTCTATGTCTGTGAAATATGCCATTGGTGCTTTAATAGGTATTACATTGAATCTGTATATTGCTTTGGGTAGTATGGACATTTTGATGATGTTAATTCTTCCAATCCCTGAACATGGTATGTGTTTCCATTTGTTTGTGTATTCCTTGATTTCTTTCTTCAGTGTTGTGTAGTTTTCTGAATACAGGTCTTATACCTCCTTGGTTAGGTTTATTGCTAGGTATTTCATTTTTCTTTTTGCTATATCAAATGGGATTCTTTCTTGATTTCTGCTTCTGCTGTTTCATTGCTGGTATACAAAAATGCCTTTGATTTCTGGGTATTGACTTTGTATCCTGCTGTCTTGCCAAATTTATTTATTAGGTTGAGCAGTTTTGGGGTGGAGTCTATAGGATTTTCCATGTACACTCTAATGTCATCTGCAAACAGTGACAGTTTTGTTTCCTCCTTTCTGATTCGGATGCCTTTTATTTTTCTTTTCTTGTCTGATCACTGTGGCTAAA